AAGAGATGTAGATCACTAGTGTAAATAAATGTAAGTTCTGTTTATGCTTATGTTTCTGTATTGACGATGACATCCCAAATGTTTTTAAAAGTGAATAAAAATATATTTCTTTAGAAATGCTTTGACAACGCGATTATCATGTTTTTCTGGGAACAAATTCCGCAACATTTTTATTAAAAGAAGTACTCTGATTTTTATAAAGCATAAACAAAATCGGTCTTTTCTGGCCGTGAAAATGGGGATGTCACAACAACTCAATTAGCCCTGGTACATTAGGGTTTAGATTGTGTAATTACTAAACAACTCGCTATTTTAATGAGAAAACATCAATTGTAAAATTCGTGTGTTTAATTTTTCCTTAGTCGGGATAGTGCTAAACAATGAACCAAAGTGATAAAACACTATTACACACTCATCGGGAGTGTGTAGGACACTAAAACATGGCTTAATGGGGTTTACGGACCTTGCATTGCGAAGCCGGACACTCAAAAATGTCACAAATGAAACCTCTCTCAATCGTATTCACTCTATCTTTCTCTATTTTGAATCTATCCCAAATCTCTTTCTCTCAAAAGTTTCCGTAACTTTTAGTAGTCTTTCGGGCCATCCCGACCCTTAACCGGGTCAAAAATCGATTAAAACGGGGGTTAGAACGGGTAAAATACCCTAAAAGACCCGAAACCCCTTTACAAGGTCGAACCCTCTTAGGAGCCGAAACCCCGTAGGATTGAAACCTCAGTAGACGAACCGAACCTGTCAGAGGAAAAACGTGTCAGAGCCGAACCTCGGTCTCGGTCCTTACCTCCCAGCCAAGACCTCACCTCGCAGACTCGGTCCCTCACCTCGCACCTTCGGTTCCCTCCTCCTACTTTCGGTTCTCTCTTTCCCTTCTCTCGATCCCTATTCTACTCTTGGTCCCCATGAGCAACCGAGCCTCACCTTCGGTTCTAAGCTCCTAAGGAGCCAAACCTTCGCATCTTCGGCCAGAATTTCAGATTTTTACAAATTTTGCCCGGTTTTCAATATTTTTAGCATTTTAAGCCTGTTTTTCATCATTTTAAAGCGGGATTTTCACCTAAAACTTTATTTTAACATATTAAGACCCATATTTCTTAATTAAGCATGTTTTTAATGCAAATCTTATCCAAGATTTAGTGGTTGGAGTAATAAAGGTGGATTGTTGACTTTCCTTTAGCTTATGACACAAGTAACCACCACACCCACTCCATGATTAACCCACACACCTCCCTACCATACCTTGTCACATCCTTGTACTTTTTCCCTCTCTCACAAGCTATTCCCATGTTCTTAGAGCTAGACACTCATCCTCTCTCCTCATTCTCACTCACTTGCTCTCATTTCACTAGAGATCAAACTCAACTTTTTCTCTCTAACTTTCTCCATCATTTTCGAGATTCCAAAGCTGATCATCAAGCTTTCTTACACTCTTGGTAAGTATAATTCATCCTCCTTGTGATAATTACACTTCATTCTACTCAAAGCATTAAATGCTTACACAAACTCCATCATTATTGTGTTAGATTCTTGAATCTTCAAAGTAATCCTTCAAGTGTTCTTGAGTTGAACACTTCTCTTCTTCAACATTCACCCACTGAAATCACGCAAGGTGAGTTAATAACCTTACATTTTCATATTTTCTTAAGTTTTAGGGGGGGGGGGGATACAAGTTAAATCACCAAGAACACAACTAAATTCTTCTAATAGCTTTCATCAGAAACGTTGGACTCTATTCACAAACTGCTTTGGTCAACTAAAACATTTTTAATTTTTAAAATTGTACAAGGTGCATGGATTTCAAGTTCTTAGCTTTAAAATGGTTACTTGCACATTACCATACAATTTTTCTACAATTTATGGTGATTTTTACAAAACTGTCTATCATGTCAAGAACCAATCTAGACCGGTCTGTGTTTATGGACGTTTTCACCTAAGTTGGAGGTCACTAAAAATCATGGGAAAAATTATGAACAAACTAGACTCATTTTCCTAACTCCTAGAATGTACGGATTTTGATTTGGACCTGTTATGAATTTTCTATAAATTTTCTAAGAACACTAATGGAATCTGTTAATAACAGAAAAATGCTAACAATTTCATTTCACCTTGTAACATGTCGAGCAAGGTGTACATCTTTATGTGAATATATGTTATTGCAAATAAATGACATTTTGTCTTGGTATATAGACATGCATCAGTTAATAAATGGATTTTGATATATATATATATATATATATATATATATATATATATATATATATATATATATATATATATGGAATATAAAGGATAACAAAATTGTTATAATAAAAGTACTACCATTTCATTCAAACATTTGAATAAACTATGTTAAATATAGTTTACGTACATTGACACTACTATCCTTGTTTTGATAAACTATAATAGGTATAATTTATGATACATTACATAACACACTCATACAAAAAGTGTACATTTATACAAAAAGGGATTTTCATTACATTGCAAGTAAATTCGTTAATGACTTTGTGAGACATTCGCTTCACATTTACCGAAAAGTCCTGTATTTTAACCAGAGTCTCCTGGAGGGAGAGCGTGATAGTTGTATATAGATCTATATTGGGTTTGACAAACCCACACCTTAACTGCATGCAACTGTTAGATCGGCAGGTCTGGGGTGACAAATTTCATAACATTTCCGACACCTGAAAAATGTCGTTACAGGCCAACTAAGTCGTAGCATGGTTATAATAACTCACAAAAAGTATTAACAAACATGGGAATTCACGGGAATTTCATTGAATTCAAACGCGTTCATGTCGATTTAAACTTGCATTATTTTCTGTAAGTAAGAAAGGTTACTTATATATTTCGGTCCTTGGATATAAGACTACATTACACATTTTAAGGAAAATATCGGATTTTTCTAGAACAAACATCACATTTACAAGAGAAAGGCTTTTATCAAGTTTAAAACAAAAGCGTATGAACTCACCAACCTTTGTGTTGACACTTTTTCAGACAACTTGTATTCTCAGGAAACCACTAAACATGTAACCAAGTGCATTTTGAGGATGGGATGTTAAGGCGTCAACATTTCATATTTTTGTCAACACATTGTAATTGATTTGGAAACATGTAACTCATACAGTGATGTAACTCTTTCAATTATATATATATATATATATATATATATATATATATATATATATTGGTTGTGTTTGCTTGAATTACTATTTCCATTGTGGTTATGATACTATACATGAAGTCCTCCACCTCCGGATGTTTCCGTCATCCTTGGTTTGGGGGTGTGACATTGTCTCACATAGCATATGATGACACTTGTTTTTTTTTTGCTTGTTGTTTGCCTTTCATTAGTACACGTAACATAGTTTAATGGCTAGGTGAGGATGAGGTCTTTGGGTAGTTATTTAGAATTGATTTAATGTATGGACACATCCTTGAGTTTTCATAACACGTAGTTTTTGAGAAATTGTTTTGGGTTGGTTTTATGAACTTTAAGTTTGATGAATGTTGTTTTTTTAAAATACAAGTAGCATTGGTGATGTCTTCATAAAATTTAAATTAAGATTGCTGCTAACGTATTCTAGCTAAAAAGTGTTTAAAACAAAAAAAAAAAAAGTTTTGAGTGAAAAATCACGATGTTGCATTAACCTATTTTGTAAAAGATGCATGACATTCTATTTCACACTCTCTACGTTATATGAGTTTCTTCGGTTTTTATTTTACTGTTCTTTTATTGACTTTGAATATATACGTTACTAGTTCAAAAGATCTTACTTATGCAATTTAAATCTTCCTCTTGATATTATTTGAATGAAACTTAGTTGCATATTTAATATCTCTTACTTACATGTATACTACGTAGGTTTGAACCTATTAGTGAACTTTTGGAGTATGAATCTATTTGTACACTTTCTTTTCTCCCCGTGATAGTTTTTTAGTTGATATTAAAAGTCTACGTAAATCATTAACCTTCATATTCATCCAAATTTTAGTTGTGATCCTCATCAAAATCGCCCTCAAATGGTATCTTAGTATTGTGATCTTTTTCTTTGGTTCTAACTCATTATTTATTTTTCATTTTCAAATTACAACTCCATTTTGTATAAATACATAAACACTAGTATTATCTTTTTTACGTTAAAGCTCATTATGTTTTCGTCACATCATACAGACTAATATTATTTAACCATGATATAAAACATGTGTTTCTTTTTGAAGTAATTAAATTATAACATAACTTTCATACCTAAGTTTTTATGAATGTCTTGCCTGATTTAGCACATGTAATACTCTTCCCATATAATTACTTAAAATTAGTAGGTTATTCATTACTAAAGATTAAACATGTATTAAATAACATTAAATCCAACAATGACCTTTTACAATATTAATAGAAGACAAAACTTCAAAAATGGTCGCTGTAGTTTTTAAAAATATCAAGTTTAGTCCTTAAGTTCAAAAAACCTCACAGATGGACCCTGTGGTTTCAAAAAATTTTAACATTTAGTCCTTCCGGCTAACTCCGTTAGCTTTAGGCCGTTAAGTCAGCGACATTTTTGGCATTTCACTATACATGGAGCATTTATGAGGTTTTGCAATTACTTTTTTTTTAAATAAATAAATAAATAGTATTTAATATGCAAGGGTCCCACCCCATCTCTCTCTCTCTCTCTCTCTATCTCTTTCTCTCTCTCTCTCTCTCTCTCTCTCACACACACACACACATAGAGACCATTTAAACATCACCACCTCACCTCCTTTTCTCTCCCCCCGTCAATCTACTACACGAATCGAAGAAAGAAACAAGGATTGCCACCCTCAACCACCCACCGTCGTGAACCACCACAAACGGCCACCCTCTCTTCCCCATTGTCGTTGCTTTGCACCTTTGAATATCGGATTAAAACAGTCGTACTGGAGAGCACCTCTAACCACCTCTTCCATAGAGCTTATTATTGTTCTCGGTAGTCTCTCTGATGTCTCCGGCGTTATCATTCTCGTTAGTCCTTGTGGCTATTCCATGTCTGATTCCCTCATCGTAAGTAAACCCAGTCACGGAATGGAATTCCCAAATCCTGGTAACCAAACTCATTCATAATTTCATATTCTGTTATTGTATAGGCCCAATTTGGGCAAGCAACAAAATACACAAGGAAGAAAGACCGTGTGTCGGAAAATGGAATGTGAAATCAATGCTCACATCTTCGCCGGAGCTTTGTGGTCCAGAAGAATGCAATACTCAAATGCCTCGCCACATCAAATTATACTTCCAAAATCCTGTTCAATGTCGTATGATTTGGATAAAATTAAGTATCCAGAATGAATTTGAATCATTACAAGAATGAATTTGGACAAGATATTAACAAGGTATGAACATTGATTTATTGATGACTTTTTTTTGGCAATTTTAAGGGCAACAATAAAGGGATTGACGTATCCTATGAAATACTTTGAGAAAAGGTTAAGGCTAGCAATTGAGAAGACATGGACTGATGAAAGTGCACTCTCAAGAATTGTGGCTACATGAGCTGAATTTGACATGACAATTTATTGACTTTTGTTGCACACACCAACTGTTTGACAGATTGCTCCAAAGAATAATCATTTTCTGAAATGTTGTTTTTTTATTGGATTCTTTGTACAAATTGTAAACCCAAATGTGCATATTGACTCTCTGCAACATCATACAAGAAGCCATGGAGGGGAGTTGGAGAGGTTGGTAGAAAGACGGAGAAGAAAGGGAGGGAAAGAGCAGATCTGAAGCATCACAACAGGTGGGGGTTCGTGGGTTTGCTCCACAACCAAAGGGAGGTGGAGAGGTGGACAACCGATTTTTCCGATGGGCTCTTTTCCTCGACTGTTAGCTTATCTCACCAGAGTTGTGGTTTTTGGGAAAGCAGGGTCGAGCAAAACAATAATAGAGGGTGTTTGGGGGTGATGCCTCTTAACAAGAGAGGGAGAAAGAGAGAGAAGATGGTGTGTGTGTGAGAGAGAGGGGGTGGGACCCTTTAATATTAAATAATTATATATTTTATCTTTATTTAAAAAAAATAAGGTAAAAGTTCATAAATGGTCCCTGTGGAAGTGAAATGACTGAATTGTCCTTCACTTAACAGCCAAAAGCTAACGGAGTTAGCCAGAAGGACCAAATGTTAAAAGTTTTGAAACCACAAGGATGATCTGTGAGGTTTTTTGAACTTAGGAATTAAACTTGATATTTTCAAAAACCACAGAGACCATTTTTGAAGTTTTATCTTAATAGAATTTTAGTTAGACGTTGACTACTCTGGATTGAACTGACTGTACAATCAGATGCAACAATGCATGTCCACACGTGTAAGGCAACTTATTCCCGCAAATGTTAGAATGTAAATATATAAAAGTATTTACAAAGGTCTCGTAAAGCTTTATTGTATTCACAAACTCATCATTTGTCTCATGCTCCAAAAGGTACGGGGCACTAAAACAAACAAGCACTAGTATATTGATCAAAATTAAATTTCTAGCAATGATTATGAAACACTTAGATTTGGTTTTCAAAACTTTGGTCATATATTTTTTTTTCTTATTATTATACAAAATATTTTCAACAAAAACTATTAATAATATAGAGTTTATTGATCAATTATAAATTATAATGTATAATGATTAAAGAATTGCATCTATTATGTTAAATTTATTGTAATTAACGATATATTTTATCATACTAATCATTGCAGTTCATATTTTTTTCTTATACTATCCGTTACTTGTTAACGAATTTACAAATTCACACAGCAAAAGATTAGTTGCAATACTATTATTTTTATTTATTATTATTTTTTTTTAGAAGGTTTATAAATGATTTTACATTTTCTGTTCATTTTCATACTTATTCACGATTTTCTGTTAAAATATAAAAGTTGCTTCATATTTTGCTTATGTTGTTTTAAGCTACTGAGGATTTACACATTTTTTACTAATATTAACTACTTATCCTTAAAGAAACAATAACAAGAGTCAAACATATATGTAAACGAAAAACAAAAGCGAAAGAAAAAGGTAAATTAAATTGGTATTCTATTTAGATCTGATTAACTTTATTCATATGTGAGTGACAATACTTGGATGCGATTTTACTTTAAAATACAATAGAAAATGAAGATACTGAAGATGAATTTATTTTGATATGTTTTGTTTACTTATGAACACAAACAAAACTAATGTGCTATTTGTTTTTTGTCTGCAGATCTTCTTGATCTCTTCTTTCTGCGCCACATAGATTACAAATAAACATTAGGTTTCATAAACTGTTTTTTTTTTTTTTTTTTAAACTGCAGACCTAAAAATGTCTGCGCATCATTTTCTTGGCGCAGATGTGGACCAGAGTTCTCAAACCTCTTAAGATATCTTCTAGCCTAAACATAACATATATATATATATATATATATATATATATATATATATATATATATATATATATATATATATATATATATATATATATATTTTTAACTTAGGTTTATTCCAACTTTATCTATGATAAACAATTTGAAAAGAAAAGTTAAAATACTTAAAGAAAAAGGTTTGACGACACAATCATGACTTTTATGACAAAATTATAAATAAAAATTTAATTAAAATAATAGTCGTTAGAGTTGTTTATATAGATTTGAAAAAAAATCGTAATATTCTCTTATATTTTTTATGCGAAATTTTATAAAATATTATTTAATGCAATATCATTCATTTTTTGAAATAAATTGTTATGCTAGTTTTTATTTGATTTAATTGAAAAGGTAAAATGAAAATTTTGAAAATTTCATTTAAAATCAAAGTTTCTTTTCATTCATTTTACGTGTTAAATTCTTTTATCATTAATTACAATGTTTAGGTATAATTTTGTGACCAAAGTTTGTTGGTTTTTATCAAATATATACGTTAATTTGTAATATTTTATTTTCAATTTTATACAATAATACATAAAAATAGATCTACATTTGTTAATTATCTATATTAAAGTCTTAAAATTATGAATAAATTACACAAATAGTCCCTATGATTTAGGGTAATTTGTGTGTTTGGTCTCTAACTTATTTTTTTAACTCGGAAGGTCTCTACTATTTGTTTTTCTTACACGTTTGGTACCTGTGTTATCTAAAAAACTATTTTTCACTTGATTTTTTAAAATATTTAAATAAACACACCCAAACCCCAACCCCATCACCTTACCTTACCGATCCCATAATTTTTTTTTCTATTTAAATAATAGTCTATTTAGGTAAGACAATGACCAATCGTGTAACAAAAACAAATAGTAGGGACCAAGTGCGTAAAAAAAACAAACAATAAGGACTTTCCGAGTTAAAAAAATAAGTTAGGGACCAAACGCGCAAATTACCCCAAACCATAGGGACCATTCACGTAATTTACTCTAAAATTATTGAAAAAAAAATCTTTCAAGTTTAAAAAAAATATGTTTAATTAGATTTTAGTTTATTCAAGCAGTTTGCAAATGTTAAAAAACAAACAGTCTTCTTATTTCCGACTGCAAATGTTTGATCCATTTTTTCTACTGCAGAGGTTTACAGATGTGGTCCGTAGACAGCATATATTTTGCCTAAAAAAACAAACAACACCTAAGTTATATATATATATATATATATATATATATATATATATATATATATATAGAGAGAGAGAGAGAGAGAGAGAAAGAGAGGAGGGTTCAAGTGAGCAAAAAAAAGGTCGAAAATGGGGAAATCATTCTCAGTCAATCATTTATTTTTGCCGCAAAAGCTTCGAACGTACCGGCGGAAATGGGAAAGGAATGCACATGTGTTTTCCAACAAAACATGTTTCCTTAAACTATGCTAAGAATTTCCTTAATATATACAAAAACATAGTTTTTTCGTTTTTTTTTTTATTTTTTATTTTTAATAAACTATTTTTATCGAAAAATGATTTTAAATATACCAAAATTCATTATTTTTATTCTCTACAAATAGACATCCATATTACTATAGTTTTAACATAAAATAATTTTTTTTTTTATATATTTTCAGCTATCATTATTCATAAGTGAATAAAAATGAATCTGGTTTTTACTACAGTATATTCGTTATTCACTTACGAATAAAAACTATGATTAATGTTTTTTTACAATTTAAGTATGATTCATATATGATTATAGCATATACTAAACATAATATATTCATATTTAAATATTAGACGATGCATTCACTTGTGAATATTACATAATATATTCACGTGTGAATGTTAGATGATATATTCACTTATGGATATTATATGATATTTTCATATGTGAATATTATATAGTATTACATGGTATATCACATGAGAATAGTACATAGTATATTCACTTGTGAATATTAGATCGCATATTCACTTATGAATAATAGTTGGTATATTCATATGTGAATATTGCACAATATATTCATATATGAATATTACAATGTGTTTTTAGAAATATATATAATTTTTATATGTTATTCACATATGAATAACATACAGATTTGAATATTTGTTTTGTGTTTTAATAATCACAAATTAATTTAGGTGAGAAAACATATTCATATGTGAATATAACGTGGTAATTTAGTTTATGCATTTCATGAAACAGTTGGAGTGCATATAAGTTAACTTTTTTAAAAATGTGATAAATATGATACTTTGACTACTTAAATCTCACTAAATAGTAGATTGTAGAGAAATATATGAAAATTTCAAACAAAAAATTATTTGATCTTTTTCTAACCTTAATTATGATGTTTTATTTGATGAACGATGTTGAATAAATGATACGAATTGAATTTTTTGTTGATTATCGATGATGTTGTTCTAATGATGTTGGGAGTATAATTAATCGTAGATGTTGAAGATATGTTCGTATTCAAACAGAATTGAAGGTTGGATTGAAAGAGCAAAAAACGAATAAATTTCAACTGTTTGTATTAGTGATTGAAGGCTATTATATGATATTTACAAGTTTGTCACCGTGTCCTTTATGTTTAGAGGCTAATTAAATGAGTGTCTGAGAATGATTCCCCCATTCTCAACCTTTTTTTATTTTCTCAATTGAACCCACCTCTCTCTCTCTCTCATATATATATATATATATATATATATATATATATATATATATATATATATATATATATATATATATATATATATATATATATTAAATTCACATATGAATAGAACAAAACTGAGTTTATGTTCTATTCACATATGGATATAACATAATTTAGTGTGAATATACCATAAATATAAGTTTAATATACAAATATTCATTTATGATATATAAAATAGTTTCTTTGTAAATGTATATCAAATTCATTTATCTTCCACTCACTGATGAATAAATGTATATAAAATAGTTTAGTATACAGTTAGTCAACCACAATGAAAAAAACATGTTTGAAGCGGAAAAATATCTAGGGTATAAAATTCTTATCATAACTGTTATATTCATATATGAATAACTTATATATATTCCTACTATATTTTTGTTCTATTCACATA